GAACTACTGTAATAACAGATAATGCAAATATACAAAAAGCGTTTCATCAGCATTATTCTACTTTATATAAAGGTCAAGAAATTTCCTTGAATAAAGTGGGTGAATATTTACATAAACAGAATTTACCAAAGATCACAGAGCATCAGAGACAAATTTTGAATGGACCTATAACGATAAAGAAAGTATGTGAAGCTATTAAAAAGACTAAAACATGAAAGGCACCTGGTCCAGATGGGCTGCCGGCCTCTTACTATAAAAGTTTTGAGGATGAACTTTTACAATCTTTAGAACAAACGAATATTATTTTACAGAATGGAAAAATTCCTGATAGCTGGAAAGAACCTAATATAACATTAATACTTAAAGAGACCCAAGACCTGACTTTAACAAGAAATTATCGACCATCTTAATTGAATAATGACTATAAATTGTTAACCACAATTTTGACTGAAAGGTTGAAATAATTTTACAGGACTTTGTCCATGAAGATCAATGTGGGCTTTTACCTAAAATACAATTACAAGATAATATTAGAAATGTTTTGGATATTCTGGAGTATTTGGAGCAATACAATGAAAAACAAGCTGCAATGATCTTCTGACATGCAGAGAAGGCCTTTGATAATTTGAATTGGATTTTCTTGTTTAGAGTTCTGGAACATATGAATCTTGGACATAATTTTATTAAATGGGTAAGATCGATTTATACTTCATAGAAAGCACAAATAATTGTTAATGGAGAACTAAAAAACCTTGTGAGATTGAAAAAGGGACAAGACAAGGATGCCCGCTGTCTTCACTCTTGTTCGTTTTAGTTCTTGAAGTACTGAATAGAGACATAAGACAAGATGAGAGAATAGTAGGAGTTAAGATTAAAAAAGAAACTTATAAGTTCAGGGCATTTGCAGATGACCTGGTGTTAGTTTCGAAGATCTGCTAGAGGGAGTAGACACATTAATGGGAAAATTAAAGGACTTTGGTATGCTAGCAGGTTTTAAGATTAATAATCAGAAGACGAAAATGTTAACAAAATATATGAAATCTGAAGATCAAATAGAACTGATAGAAAAAACTGGTTTTAAGGTTGAAAAAAAGTAAAATACTTGGGTATTTTTATGACAAATATGAATTGTATGTTATTTCAAAATAATTATGTTAAGACATGGAATGAATTAAGAAGAACATGTTAAGATGGGAAAAATTAATATTGTCACTGTTAGGGAGAACTTCTGTGATAAAAATGAATGTTTTTCCTAGAATGTTTTTGTTTCAGACAGTACCTGTTTTAACAACTGATGGACCATGCAAGCAATGGCAAAAATATATATCTAAATTTGTATGGCAAGGGAAAAAAAACCACGAGTTAAATATAAAGTGTTACATGATGCAAAGGAAAAAGGAGGATTGGGTTTACCGGATTTGAAATTATATTTTGCAGTTTGTTGTATGGTCTGGATGAAAGAATGGGTGTTGCTGAGAAATAAGAGACTTTTAGAGTTAGAAGATCATGACCTGAGGTTTGGATGGCATGGACACTTATGGTACAATAAAGTTAAAATTAATGTAGATTTTAAAAATCATTTTATTAGATATGCTACATTGAGAATATAGAATAGATACACTGGCAGTCCTCGGGTTAAGAATGAGTTCCATTCCTAAGCCTGTCTTTAACTTGAATTTGTATGTAAGTTGGAACTCGTACTTACAAACAGGCTGCCTCTTACTAAAAATGGCAGGTGGGGATCTCCTTCCAGGAGCTGACGAACCACTAAAGCTGCACAATGTTTTCGTGAACCTCTGAAAACAGTCTGTATATTAAAAACGTGCGGCTTCAGGAGTTCATGAAAACATTGCGCAGCTTCAGGAAGGAAAATGCTGTCCGTCTTTTTTAGTAACAGGCAGCCTGTTCGTAAATATGAGTTGTCCGTAATTTGGATGTTCTTAACCCAGGGACTGCTTGTACACCCAGGCTGTGTCCAAAAACATCTGTAGATCTCGGCACAAGAAGCATTCTATAGAAGAGAAACATCAGGCAAAGACAAATGGTTAATGTACCATTATTATGATTAGAAAATCATCAAGGGGAATATAAAATTAAATCAAGAGAGCAACTAATTGCAGAAGGATACAGTTGTCAATGGTTTTCCCATTTATATATAAGAAAGATTCAAAATGGATAAAAGGTATGGAGCAAAGTAAGACAGAATTTTAAGTACAATTGTGTACCAATTATGAATATGCAGTTGCTAAAATGTATAAACTTTTGTTGAAATTTGAAACAGGAAGAACAGATTAAAGAATGTATGAGAAAATGGACTAAGAATTTGGGTTATAATATACAATGAGATGGATCAATGAGGAAATATGTGGCTAAAAGTGTATAATGTAAAATTTACCTTACATTATGATCTTAAAGAGAATTTTTATAAAATGATGTATCATTGGTACATGATGCCAGACAAATTATCTAGAATGTATAAAGGCATTTCAAATGTATGTTGGAAATGTGAACAACATTAAGGAACATTTTATCATGCTTGGTGGAAATGTAAAAAAGCTAAAAAAAAAAATTGGATTCAAATGCATACATTGATCCAGAGGATTTTAAAGATTAATTTTGAAAGTTGAAGCCAGAACTTTTCCTTTTAGGACTGATGGATAAACAGTTAGGAAAAAACCATGGAAGATTATTTTAATATATGATTGCAGCAAGATTTCTATATGCACAAAGATAGAAAGATTTGGCATTACCCACCATGGAGGATTGGTTGGTGAAATTGACAGAACTTGCAGAGATGGGCAGACTGACTTCTTTGATTAGAGAAAGGACAATAAATCTACATTTATTGGTGACTGGAAACCCTTTATGGGATTTGCATAAAAATGAACTTGTGATTTATGGTTTTGATGATTAGACAGGATAGATTATAGAAAGAAGAG